ATGCTGCAGTTGCATCAACAATCACAAAAAAGAAAGCAACCTACACTAATTAGTACACATCAACACACAAAATGTTTACACAATTAGTCACAATTTCATAACTGATCAAACATGATCAAGCCATACTAGATACAAGTAGAAGCTTAATATCCATGCATGGGTATTATGGATCAAAATTCCCTTTTTTGTGTTGATTGCATTGTTTTTTCCCCAAACTCAAATATCTCTAAAACTTAATGATAAATCTCAGTACTACTGAAATGCAACAGAGCATACAGTAAAAGGATCCCTTCCACTATACCCTTCCTGAAGATTACTATTGCATGGGAATTTCTGACATCAAAAGTTCCCCTTTTTTGCTTTTTTCCCCTCCCAATTATAATCTTAGTTGTTAATGAAAGATCAGCAGAATTTTCTTTAATCTAGAATTCATATAATTAAAATTGATTTATTCTTTCTTCTACTCTCGCTACATGGTAAAACTATGTTAAGAAAACATCCTAATTTTCACCCTTTAACCATGATATACAATTTAAATCTATGGCATGCATGAAACAGGCACATCCACTGTTGAATGCAATGCCTGTTTCATGCAAGCCCCTTGGTAATCACATTTTTAAGTAGTTAATATAATAGAAATCTTATCTACAATCAACTTTACCCGTTTTTTATACCTACATGCTATGTAGCACGGACACGGATCCGACACGGCCATCCGACACGCCGACACGAGGCAAATCCTAAAAAATACATAGGATACGTGTGTTCGACACGTGTGTCTGACACGGACACGACATGACATGGCTTCATGTTATGCGTGTCCGTGCTTCATAGCCTACATGGTAAAATGATGTTAGCTTCCTACTTTTCTTATTCTACCCACAGTACTTTGAATAGAACTATGGCAAGCATGACAGGAGTTCTCTTTCTGATGAGTAACCTTTAATATTAATGAAAATAAAATGCATATAGCATCAGAAAATGTTATGGTATCAGATCTAATCTTGTATGGTTACCTTGCTTAATTTACAAAATTCGGTGCAACATACAATACCTTATATCTATTGTTATATTTTCTAAAGTTATCTCATCTGCATGAATGAAAATAAAAGGAGTAAGAGAAAAACTTCTTTTGTCAAAAACCCACCTACATTTGAATTATTTGTAAAAAAAATAAAAATAAAAACAAAAATCTTAACGTCTTGCATATTCTTATTCAAATAATTTATCTTATGGTTGGCATCCATAGGACGACCTTACGGTATTGGGAATGATGTTACTGTCCCTCACATGTAAATTCACCTCCACACACTTCCCTTTTGTAACATAAAATGATAAAAAATCGCTTATTAACCTTAACCATCCATAATAGTTCACTTATCGATTATCATATTAATTTTACCGTAGCTTCAACATCTCCCATGCGTGCTCATTGTGAAAACAACATCAAACAGTGACTTGGTTACAAAAAATAAATAACTAAATACAATGGGAGACAAAAGAGAAATAGATTGAACAAAGGCATCAACTGCAAAGCAATCTTGAATATTGCTGGTGGTGGTGCTCCAACATAGAAGCAGAGTGGAATCATGCATTCCAAAAGCATCCACTAACAGAAAAGGACCAAGAAATCATTATTCAAAAAAAAAGGACAAAGAAAGCAAACCAATGTCTATAATTCATTGAGAACTGCAGTGCCTGAACTGAAAGATTGCTTGGATTTTGAATGAATATTGGCAACAATTTTTTACAAAATATGATTAGACATAAATACCCCAGAAATTGGCAGTAATTACATGATTAATAATCTCTCTAACACACTGTACTTACTCTAGTTTATAGAGAGATCTTCCCATAGATTGAATTCATATGAATTTTAAATGAGGCAACAGGAAGAAAAACAAAGAAATGGGCATGTGGCATGAAAATTCGCACTGCAAAAATAAATAGAGTTGTGTTGAGAATGTATTACAGAGTCATTCAGGTTCTACAGGCTTCAATATTTAAGGGGACAGGTCTACACTTCTAATTTAGTTACAAGCAGTATTAACCTAAATCAAAGTGAACAAGTATAAGAAAACCATCTCCTTACAACCCCAGGTTGCACAGGGCATGATTATCATTCTTCATGTCGATAAAGCTATGCCGTCCAAGGCGAAAAAAGAAACAGATGGTCATTACATTCCTCATTAACTTGGTCCTCATTAACTTGGACTACCAGCATATAGCAAAAGGATATAGCTATCAACTTGACATGTTGATCAAAGAACTACACCATATAGTGCGACGGAGCTGAATATAATTTGTGATTAATAGATAAAGTTTGTTTATGCACAAATAAGCAATTTTTCAAATAGGAATAACATATGATAAGAATATAAAGCACGGAAGCCCAGGATGGTAGTTTATTATGTCACTCAAAGCAGATAAATTATCAAGCAGAACTATTTCTTTCAAGCAACATTAAAAATACATATACACATCAAACCATATATCATGCCAATATTTGTCTAATATATATCATGCCAAGTTGAAAACATAGCAATGTAAAAGATCAATGCAAACTCTCCAAAAATAGAAGAAAGCAAAGGTAACTTACAAGCTTATCCATCATAAGAAAAGCACGCTCCTTTGTATGACTGCGACTGGACTCCCATCGAACACGTAAGATGTTGGACAAGCATCTAATCTGAAACCAAACAAAGAAGAAGTATTGACAAAATGTTATACATTAATAAGTCTAATCTGAAAATAAATCATCGGGTTTAAATCCTGTGCTGGTGGACTTTGTTGGGCTGTTGACAGTTTTTGAGACAAGAAATTTGGTTGAGGGGTCAGCACAAGCGAGAGACAACAGGATAATGTGGTAAGATTTTGGAAGATTGGATGCTTGATTGGTTGTCAGGTACAGGTTGAAGTTGCATTGTGGTTGTTGTTGCTTGGTGGTTTTGGATTGTAGAATTCAGTGCCGCGATTTGGCTGCTTAGAGTTATCGCTAGATAAAGGTTTTGGGTGCTTGAGTGGTGCCACTTTGAAGAGGGAGGGAGGGAGGGAGGGAGAGCAATTGGGTGTGGTGTCTCTGATGGAAGAAAAAAGATTAGGACTAGGATTAGTGTTTTAGGAATTAGGAAACTCATTTGGGCATTACACAGTTTAAATTCTGATTCCCCTGCAAATTATATCTTATTCATCAAGAAATTAATAATCAATCAGAGATTCTTACAAATTACAATGCATATATAAGAAAACAACATGCCAACCACATAGAAAGACAAACTAGGTCTCAGAATACATGGTTCTCAGAATAGGTCTCACAATACATGAAAATCCCGAAACAGATTCAAAATAAAGAAAAAAAAAACATAATGGACTAATTTGGGTAAGAAAAAGCACCTAAAACTGAAATAAACCGCATTAAAATAGAACTAAAATAGACCTACACTAGGCCATGCTTCCTCCATGACTATTAAGAATAATCGGGGATATCTGAAAGTAAGGTCCTTGTGGAATGACAAATGTAGCAACCATTGCAAAACAAGTTGTTTGCATTTGCATGTTACAGGTATAAACACTTATAACACATCATTTGACAACATCAAGCAACTTCCTTGACGTTAAAGGTTATTTGGTTTGCAAAGAATTGCAACAGCAAGTTGGGAATTTTGCAAAGGATATTAGGACAGTACGTTTCAGCAAAACATCATATGGTCTGCATTCACCATATTACTTTCACAATAAACCATAGAGCTATTGCGACTTGATGGCAATGCTTCATGTATATCAGGTCATATAGTTGTGAACATTTGAAAGGTCAAATGACAGAATTAAAAAAAACAAAAGGAAAGTGCTCAAGTGAATGGAGCTGATATAATACTTACAATGTAGAAAGATTGATGTTGGCTGTCAATAGCTTCGATATATGGGGCCATTTCCCACTCTACAAAAAACAAGACTAACATGAAGTCAAGCAAATCAAACCACAAGGAACCTAATGAAAAATTAGACTATTGGTATTACTGCATTGAATAACAAAAAGAATAGTATATATTTGGCTAGACAATAAACGCTCAGGGGGCTATCAGCTAAATAGTAAAAATAATTATGCTAGAAAAACAAGAGGATAAATTGACATTTAAACTTTGGTGACACCAAAATCTAGCAGTTGCTTTTCTCTTCAGCCAGACACCAAATTCTTTCCGCATTAACTTTGATCGAGTTCAAAGAAAGTCTGGTGAAGTTCACGATTAATATAAATTCAAGCAAATTAACGAAGAACCTAATGAAAAAGTAGACTGGTCGCATAACTGCATTAAATTAAATAATGAACAAAATACTATATTTAGCTAGACAAGAACGATCAGCTGGCCATCAGCTAAATAGTAAAGTCACTATGCTAGTAAGAACAGAATGATAACTGAACTAATTTTTCAAAGTAGCCTGACATTTCCACTTTGTTCACATTAAAATCTAGTAGCTTTTTTCCTCTTTGTGCCGCCATGAAATTCTTCCAATGTAAACCTTAATGAAGTAAGGCGAAGTTAATGCTCAAGTTCAGAACGGATTTGAATGCCCAAGTAGGCTCACAAGGTCTATCAAAAGTATAATAATGCAGTGAGCCTTTATCCCAAATTGTTTGGTATCATGTACATGAATCCTTTTCTTCTATGCTACTACTCTAAGGTCCATGACCTTGATCAAATTTAGAAACTATTAGATACTATTTACTGCCTCCATCCATGCCCTGATCTGATTGTCATAGCACATGCCCAGACAAGTCTGCCAAATTTCTATAAGTTAGCAAGAAAGCAGAGCAACATAGATAAGCAAACAAAGCACCGAGCATGCAGTTATAGACCAGATGAAGTGTCTAAAACAAAATGAATAAAGCCTAGGTGATCTAGCATATGCAGTTTCAGTATATTCCACTTCCAAGAGATCTATGTCTAAGTTACAGCATCAAAAGGAACCTTTGCAATCAAACCAATCAGGGAAAAAGGCAACATACTCAGATTTTTCTTCCTATTATACTAAAACCTTGAGGAGCTTTTGAGATGTTACATGCAAAACTACCAAATCGATTATAAAAAAAGGCAAAAGTTTGCTCATAACTATTAAGATGAATTCTCCACAGAATCAAGAACACAATAGCAGCATGCTTGGCAACTTACTCAAAGTGGTTCATAACCCACACATTTTGGATCATACTCCTTGGTTGAGAGATCATTTTGGATTACAATCCACCAAAAAATAATATAGTATTCCTAGCTCTCTTTTTTTTGGGTGGATTATAATCCACATGTTTGACCAAGTACAAGACAAAAAATGCCCCTCATTTTTTACTTATCATTGTTTCCCATTCTCTCTCCTCCAGCTTTTAAGGGTTATTTTCGTCAGTTTAGCAATAGGCATGTGAATTATAAATCACCCTCTTTTACCAAACACCTACAATCTTAATCCACTTGGATTATAATTCAAAGTTTCCAAACATGCTATAAGATGGTTCATCAATCAGGAAAATAATCTAAGGGAAGATAGAAGACTTGAGGTTGCGGCAGATCAAACATATGACTTTAGTACAAATTGTTACTTATTTACCATAGTTCCTAAAATAACAAATTTAACAAAAGAAAGCTATTCTATTTGAGAAAATGAGAGCCTACTTGACAACTCATCATTACGACCCCTAGTTTGGAGATGTAGACATTGTGCTAGTATAACAGCTTGCTGGATTGCTGTCAATTTAGCATCGTTGCCAATGCCAGAATTACCATCAGTCTGGCCCCTACTTTCTACCAATCTTGGTTTAATTAGAACATCAGAACATTCCTGAGGAAGTGTATTCATTTTGTCTTCAGAAGAACCATCACTTGTGGTCTGTGGGAACTTTGCCAACTGCCTGCCACCATTTACTTGGTTCTTTGTGTTTGGAACAAGTACTAGTTGAGCAGTGGGATCCACCTGTATCACAGTACAATATAGCCCACTTCAATGGAAATTGCTTATGCAGGTTAAAGTTAGAACTAGTTTTCAACATTAAGACCTGGTGTATTGTCCGAAAGCCAAGAACTCCAGTAACTGAATGATGCATTCCACACGCTTCTTCAGCACGTTCAAGATGCAATCTGCACAAAAATAAGTTTTTAATTTTTTTAAGAAAACAAAATGGTCAATTTCAAGACAACAAAGCAAAGTGCACGTGATCAAACTTTTAAATATGAAGCCCTATTTCTTGGGGAACAAATCTCCATTGTATCCCAGCAGTGTCCATGTTTATCACATGACAATCCTTTTTATGGCTCCAATTAACAGAAGTGAAGTAAAACAGCCAGTATTACAGAAATTATGGAACTCAGCGAATTACTGGAACTGCTACCAGATGTCTGAATGACATCATGATGGAACAAGCTGGTATAAAAGTTACAACAAAATATAGCATCTTTCCAGCTATGTCCAAATACTGAAGACTGGTGAGACAACACAACCCACTAAGTGATAAAGTTAGACGTATTTATTTTAAATGTATTAATATCCTGAGAAAGGCACATTTTGATAATAAAGACTGAGATGACACTGATCCATAATTCCATATAATGAGAAGCCTATAGCCCGCGTGCGATTTTAAAACATAATGTTTCAAGAGCAAGGCATTCCTTTCTGGTAATCTTGTGAACATAACACATATTAAACAAAAATGTAAAGTCGTATCATCAAACATGTCTATTTGCAGGATCCATGTCAACATGGTGATCCCTATACAAAAAACAAAAAGAAGGCATTCTTAACATGATGAATGCTTCAAAAATAATATGTCTAGCAAATTACCTGAGTGACTTGACACGTAGCAATTATGCTTTTTGGATACAAGCACACACATAGAACATGAAATTCGTAATGTTTTACACTTGCCAAATTTTACAACTTTACTTTAAAATCTAATATACTTCCTATTCTTTTATGGTGATTTATATCTTCATACTTGCTGTTCAAATTTCAAATTGATTATAAGTGTTACGTAATATTTTTATTGAATTCATTGTGACTTGTAGTTTGAGTTTTAAATTGATCTCCATTTACAATCTTTTAGAATTGCAATTCTTGATTACTTAATTCTTAATTCCTAAATAAGCGATAAACAATATTCTTTCTACCTCAAATTAGTTCGAGTTAGTGAGATCTACTAGGCAAGTGCATTCTGTGCACCATGGGAAAGGACAAAGGTTAAACACGGAACCCGGACTTTTCTTAAAAGGGTAGTTGAAAGAGTTGTGTTCTTTTCTCTTTATAAATATCAGCCTGGCTTGAAGTATTATCATGCCAATGATAAAAAATGAAATAAGAAGAAAACTAAAAGGGGAAAAAAAGGAGAATATAGGAAGCAACTTTCCTTTTCCCAATCTGTCCTCCAAATTGTGTATGTATTGTTTATTATTTATATGACTTACATATTATTACTGTTCCAAGGCATAAGAAAACCACATCACCTACTTAATCTCCAAATCTAGTTATGTGTTACTCACTTAGTACTTTTCTCATATTATTTACTTTGAAATATTTAAATATTTTGCATTATAAATTTCAGACATCATAAAATAATGTGCTATAAGTAATTAAAGTACGTGATATCTTAATCCAATTTTTGTTGTCAACAAAAAACGCTCAATTTTTTTGTTTTAATTTTATTGATAAAAACTGAATTAATTTGTTACATTTAGTAATAGGTGAACTCTTAAATTTAGTCCCTCTAACCATTACACCAGAACTTCGAAGTTATGGTGTAATGGTTAGAGGGACTAAATTTAATACGGTACTAGAACAACCCATGTTGAAATCCCACCAGCCACAAATTTTACGCAAATTTTTTAAAAAATTAACACCGCTACGTGAGTTCAGGCCCCCCATAAAAAGGGCATTCAACCTGCGGAGGCATGTTAGAATTAATATAAAACTATAATCCTCGACCCTCACCATAACTTCAAAGTTTTGGTGTTTAGAGGAACTAAAATTAAGAAACAATATTTTTACACTCTCTCAGTCTGTACTATTGTAATCTTATTAGTCGTTAGAATGTAACAGTAACTGGCTAGAAAAGTTCTTTAATGCTACTAGTATGACTTTAAATGTTTCTCAAGTACTATTTTCTATTGCAAAATCTTGAAATCCGATGTTACCATTCATAGTTTTGCCACAGATTACAACATACAATACCTGATGGCATAACTATAAAGTAAAATTTAGATGTATTGGAGGTCCCAGAAATGCATGGAACAATAATATGCATTAATAATCTCACTGAATTAATGACATCAACCATCATAGATTGTGGACCAAGTGACCAACATTCTTCCTGACTATATTCCCAATTATAATACATACTGAGATCCAGCAAACATAGATTTTTTTCAGATGATATATCTTAATCTTAGGAATATTTATTTTGTTATTACTCAATACTAGATGTGGTAGATCATGCTTTATAGTGGGTGTTCCCAGTAAGGATCGCAACCATGACAACGATTTCAACAGCTCAATAATACATGAATATATACCTATATGCTTGCAGATACTTGCCTAGCTCCATTTACTCCTAAGGAATTAAGCACTATCTATTTTTATTAACACCAAAATGTATTTTCACCCAAGAGAAATTTTTTGCACACAGTAACGTGTCATGAATGTGTGCACTCTTTTCTTTGGTCAAAAAAGTGGGTGCAGATCATGAATGTGCGCACTTCTTTCTTTGGCCTAAGAAATGGGTGCAGAGACCATGTCAGATGAGTATGCGAGGCTTAATGCAGAAGAATTTACAAACAGTATCTACATAAACTTAGGAGTAGTCAAGTTAATGTCTGCTGTAAAGGTACATCATATCGCTGTCTTCATATCAATAAGTTTAGCCTCAATGTAATGTTCAAAAAAAGCAACATCATTATAGTATGTCCAACATTAGCAGTTGTCTGCCACCGCCTCAATGAAATTTCCTCAAAATAAACTCTGCTTATGTTTACAAGAAAAAAGCAGATTCTTAGTAGAAAAAAGGACAAATTTTGAAAAACGACCGTATTTCGAATTTAATGAGCAAAAACGACCGCTTAACAGAAAAAATAGCAAAATCGACTTTTTTTTGCACGGGAGTACTAGTCCCGTGCAAAAAAAAGGGTCGCTTTTCACCTGACGCCCATCTTCCCCCTTCCGCTCATTCCCTCTGGTCGTGACCAAAAAACCAGACCCCCACCCTCCTTCCCCACCTACCTCACCTCCCCTACCCCCTCCTCCCCCATTCAACAAGCCCAGGCCCCCTCCTCCAGACCCTCCCCCTACCCCCCTACCCTCCCCATTCACAAGCCTAGACCCCCTCCTCCAGACCCTCCCCCTACCCCCTCCTCCCCCATTCAACAAGCCCAGACCCCCTCCTCCAGACCCTCCCCCCTACCCCGGAGCCGTCCTCAAGCCTCCCACTCCGGCTTAAGGACAAAGCCAGAGCGGCCCTCAAGATCAGCTTTCGCTGCGGCGGGCTGCGGTCTCGTGGCCAGCGTCTCGGGCCTCGCTTGATGGGCTCCTGATTTGCTGCAAGAAGTTACAGATTTGGAGGAGGTGAGGACGAGCTCGACGTCAGAGGGGGTGAGGGGAAGGGTCTGGAGGAGGGGGCCGGAGTAGGAGAGCTTGAGGATGAGCTTGACGTTGGAGTAGGTGAGGGGGAGGATCTGTAGGAGGGGGCTTGGGCTTGTTGAGGGGGGAGGAGGGGTTGAATGTGAAGGGGAGGAGATGGGTTTTGATGGGATCGGAGAAGGGAAGGGAGAGAGGAAGGAGGAGGAGGCCATGGTATTCTGAGGATGGAAGAGGCCAGGGTTTTGATAGGCGTCGGGTGAAAATTCTGAAGATTGAGGAGGCTAGGGGAGAAGATGGGCGTCGGGTGAAAAGCGACCCTTTTTTTGCACGGGACTAGTAGTCCCGTGCAAAAAAAGTCGATTTTGCTAATTTTTTTGTTAAGCGGTCGTTTTTGCTCATTAAATTCAAAATACGGTCGTTTTTCAAAATTTGTCCTAGAAAAAAGGGTAACTCACCTTAATGAATCAACCCGAGCATATTTATATTCTAAAATTCCCGCCTCTAGCTGAGCCATGGATACAATTGCTGCAGCTTCTCCTTCGTATAACAGAGATCCCCAATAGTTAATGACATAGTCTAATTCACCAAATTGATTCAATATTTCCTTCTTACATACTTGCAGCAGGTCATACAAAGAGGATGATAGCTCATCTAGAATTCTCTGTTGAAGAAGAATGAGCCTGCACAACCACCACGAAATGCTTCTGGTACCACTCAAACAGGAATCTCTCCACTGAATGGACAAATCCTTTGCCTTGCTTAACAGAATCTTTCCATAAACAATGTACTGTGAACAAAAGAAATGTTAAATTCTATATTAGAAAAGTTCTGATGCAGTTTAAGAGAATATCAAGCATGCAGACAGATTTCTTTCTGTTGAAACCTTATAATAAGGCCTGGAACAATTTTTTTAGGCAAACTTAGATTATACTGATAAGTACGGAGGATGTAAATAGTAAGATTCTTTAATTAACTTCTCTTCTTCTCCATCAATCACCTTCCCATGTATCTTTACCAGAAGAAAAAAATTAGCTAAATCAAAGATAAAATAAAGATCATAGATATCATCCAACCACTATGATTTTGGTTGCAAAAAATGTTGATAATGCCATGTACCAAAATCTGTAGGGTTTTTTTCCCCTAACATAGATAAAAGATTCGAATACTAACGTAAGACTGCTATGATACTTCTAAGTTACTCATTCGCTTCACGTTAGACTACTTGCCAGTGCAATTAGTTATAATTGACATCTTCACGTAGTAAAGTCATCAATCTTGTTTGAATCAACTGAAAATATAAAGTTCAATACCTGCAAGTGCGTGAATTTTCCAAGAAGGCCACAGCCAACCGACATCAGCTGACTCCGGGCCCATATATCCCACATCCCTCCGCCATTAATGGCTTGACCCATCTTTGATTGAGGAAATGACAAGGGGAAACGAGAAAACACCACGACAGGCCTACGACATTCAACCACAAAGAAAGGGGGAAATCATGTTAGTTTTCAATTTTGCAAACTCAGGGGAATATCTCAAGTTCGAGCAAAAAGAAATTAAAGAGTTAAACCATCAAAGGAATACTTTACTATAACGAAAATATGGAAAGGTGCATATCAACCGACATCAGTATCCTTTTATTGTATGCACAACAAAGGCCCAACAGAGATCCAGTTGACCCGAAAAAAAAAAGCCTGTATCATGGCTGATGAGGAATAATAGCAACTAAAACTGCTGGTCTAAAGGGTACAAGAATTTCATTAAGTGTGTGTCTTTGTATTCCAGGTGGTGCTATGTGGTTTGGGCGCAGAGCTGTTCAGCAAAAATATACAAAAAGAAAAGAAAACTATGGAAAGCCAGGTCCAATTAAAATGCTTCTTGTTGACCAATATGTGATAAAAAGACCAAGCATCGAGAGCCCATGACGTGAATTCAAATGAACATCTACCTATAACCAGGAAACAGTTTTTTGACCAGAAATTCAAATTGAAGTACTTTCAGTTTCACCAAAATAATGATGTAAAGAGTTGACCGAGACGCATAAACACTTGTCATTACCAACACCTCTAACAAAACAGAACTTTCTTTCCAATGTCAAATGAGAGAGAACATCTTTAAGAATTGAGAATTTCAATCAGCCACAGTGGCATTCTGCTGGGACAAAAAAATAAATATATCAACCCTCAAGCGTAATAAACCAAATTCAAATTACTTAAAGGCTTAGTTGCACTGCCACTACTACCCCGAAGTTTTAGCCCTTTTTTAACTTTGATACCTCGAAGTTCTATTTTGACAATTTGATAACCCAGAGTGCAAAACAATCGCCATTAATTTTGTTCAAGAATATCAACGTAGAAAGTGAATGAGAAACAAATTCCTTACCAAATTTCTTCTTTGAGTTGGGAAAGTGACGATCAGAGTTAGGACTTTGGGGTATTAAAAAAATGTCAAATTAAGGTCAGGTTGAAAAGTTTGAGGTGGCGAACTGTCATAACAGAACCTAAAGAGAGTGAAATTTTAGGGTATTAACTCAAATAAGCCTTGCTTAAGTTTTAACTCAAATAAGTAATAAAGATGCCAACTTTAACAAAGAACAACTCTCAATCCCGCCGAAATTTCACCCAAACTCCGGAAAAAAACGATACATAATCTATAAAAAGGACATAGAGCTCTCACCCAGTGACATTCTGCTGCATGAAAGCAAGCAACGCCGCCACACCCAAACACAAAACAACAGCAAACCTAAACTCAGCCTCGAACTCGTTCCCACTATCCTCTCCATCTCCCTCGGAATCAAGAAAGCTCAACCAAGTCTCAGACGCACTCTTCTTCTCGTTGTTCCGCAGGAACATCTCAACACTCTGCTCGACCTCGCCGTAGAATCTCTCGGCAGACTCGATGGAATCCTCGAACTGGAACGAATCGTAGAACTTGAATATGAGCTCAGCGGCCGGAGAGGCGAGGGCTTTGGAGTAATTCCCGCGCTCGACGGAGTCGATGAGGGATTCGATGAGGGGGTTAGCGCTAGGGTTAGGGTTTGGGGGTTGTTGGAGCAGTGCAGGCGCCTGAGGACGCGGAGCTCGACGGATTTGCAGGAGGCCGCCATGGCTAGGCGTTTCGAGGTTTTCGGAGGGAGGTTCGAGGGTTTAAGGCGGTGGGGGGAAAGAGCAGAGGAGTTAATTTCGGGGCCAAGGCGGGTCGGGTATGGATATATCCGCAAGAGCCGCCATCGTCCAAAATATCTTTTGCGCTTCCATTATTGAAAATTAATATATAATATATTTTATTTACAACATATTTTATTATAATTAATATATAATATATTAATAATATGTTATATATTAATAATATGTTTAATACTAATGTTATAATGGGTCAAACTAGTGTTGACCAAAAATACTTAACATGGTGCTTTGAAAACATTTTAAGGGAAAAACACAACATCATGGTGTTTTTTTACAAAAACACAACAAGGAAAAAACATCATGGTATCTAATGGAAGCCACGTTAATATCACATTTTAGCTACGAGAGATGTTAATAGATTTGAAAATTTGGTTTGCGACAGCGGATCAATCTTGATACAAACTCCATATTTAATCTATCTGATGACAGACGAAAATCCTGCTACAGACTCTATGTTTAGTCGACGCCAATTGTATCTTGCTCTGTTCTTTTAAAGATCGTCGCAAGTAGCCACTAACATTAGAAAGAAGGAGATGAGTAGAACAGAATCCCGCTTTCGTCTATCTAATAAAAGCATGTTTTCTATTTAACAGAACCCGCAACAGCTATCACAATAACTGGCAGCCAATTGCTTTCACCTCTCTTCCATATAAATCCTAACCCTCTTATTCTTTTTTTCAATTCGAATTCGCTCCATCTTTTTTCTTCTTCTTTTGAGCTCAAGCAAGTATTCTTCGTGCTCAAATGGCTCTAACAACATAGATGAACAATAGCGTATTGAATTCGACAGCTCCTACCGTTAGGCTAGATTGCTTCTCCCCCTATTTGGTCATCACTAATGGAATATGGCTTGGGGAAGATCCATTAAGTTACTCTCTCCCTCTCTTCCTCATCCAACTCCTTATAATAACGCTAATCGGCTGCATTCTGTATGCCATCTTGAAGCCGTTCGGTCAGCCTATGGTCCTCGCTGAGATCCTGGTACGTCGATATAAGCAAATAACCAATTTTATTTTTTTCAATATTAAATCTTTATAGTGTGGTAATTTTTAGAATTTACAAATGTAGGCAGGCATTTTGCTAGGATCATCTTTTGCAGGAAGATGTTTTCAGGGGTTTGAGGCTCATTTGTTCCCAGGAAGAAGCATTGAGATAATGTCATCAATGCGTAACTGTAGTTTACTTTGCTTTGTGTTCATGGTTGGAGTTGAAATGGACATAAATGTGCTGAGGCAAATGAAGAAAGTAATGGTTATTGGCACTATTAGCATCACATTACCCTTTGCGATTACCTGGACCATTGCCTACCTCTTTCGTGACTATTTCCTCAAAGAACAAAAGAACAACGCCTTCTACATCTATCTCGCTCTGGCTCTCTCGGCAACTACATTTTCCGTGGTCGCTCGAGTCCTTAGAGATCCCAAGCTCCTGAGCACAGAGGTTGGTCGAGTTTCCATGTCATCTTCAATCATCCACAATTTGTTCTCTTGGGTGTTGCTTGCCCTTATTTCCATATTTTCGGGAACTATGAAAGCGAATAAAGAATTGGATGGCTTGCCCTTCCTCTTCATCATACTATCGAGCCTGAGGCTTTTGGTCGTTTGTGTCGGTTTGGTGAAGCCTGTACTAAAATGGCTCGTGGGTAGAACGCCAGAAGGTAGTCCATGAGTGGCATGGACCTTGGCATGGTCATAATGGGGGTGATGGTGTCTGCATATATCACTGACTTCATTGGCGTAAATGGTGTCTTTGGAGCATTCGTTTATGGTCTAGTCATAATGGGGGTGATGGTGTCTGCATATTTCTTCGTACTTTAGTATGCCTTTGTCTGAATGTCCCTCCATAGGTTTCCTCATAAACTCCCTAGGGCTTTCCGAAGTGATTCTCCGCAAGAGATAAAGATGTATGTATACATGCTAAAATTGTTTCGATCATGGCTAAGTATTGTTAAAATCACTTTCTTTCTAGTGATTAACGTCTAATTTGATGTGTCACAGATCATTCGCCAAGAGACTTTTGCGATCATCTTGGTCATGTTCGTCCTAATGATAGCATTGTGAAGAGAACGTACCTGGCGGAGGCGAGGACGAGCTCGGAGGTAGGATCGGAGCTCGCCTGAAGATGGAGACAACGGATCTCACCTGAATCGAAGGAGCAAGGAAGCTCGCCTGAGGCGTGAGGGTGAGGAGCTCGCCTGTAGGTGACGACTTGGACGTGCGTAGGAGCTCGCCTAAGCTTGTGGTGAGGCGAGGTCGAGTGGAGAGCTCACCTGTTGCGGGTCACGGGTCGCCTGCGAGCTTATAGGCGAGGGCGACGTCGAGCTCGCCTATTTGCATGGGAGTCAGCTGTAGACAGGTTGGCATGGATCTCGCCTGAGGAGGCGGCGGGATTTTGTTTCCCTCTACATTTGTTTCTCTCCCATTTGCCCCCCATTTGTCCTGTTCCCAAAATTAAAGAGGAGGGGGTTTGGTGAATTTAAGAAGGGGGTTTTGAGTAATTAAGAGAGAGTTTGAGCTGTGATTTTAGATTAAAACCGCTATTTGATTAAGATCTTCTCTCTTATTTGTAATTTCTTATGATTAATAAGAAATTATTTGTGCTACTCCCTTGGACGTAGGCAAATTTGCCGAACCACATAAAATTTGTTATCTTGCATTTGTGATACTTGTTTTGGTTGTTTTTTGAGTTCCAATCTCGTTTGTAATTGTGTGCCTTCAATTCCGCTGTGCACAACAAGTGGTATTAGATCTCTGGGTTTGGCTTGTGGTTTGATTTGGAGAAAAAAGCTAGGGTTTGGATTCTCGTTTGAAGAAATTGGATTGTCAAGATGACCGAAGCAAGTACATCGGGATCGTCTTTGTCGAAGGCGATACAAGGGTTGAGCATTAATAATACAAAAATTAATGTTCAAAAATTTGATGGCAAGATAAACTTTGGTTTGTGGAGGTATCAAGTGATGGATGCATTAGATGTCCAAAATTTAGAGGAGACTCTTGAATTACAAGAGAAACCCGAGGATATGAAGGATAAAGTTTGGAAGAAAATGAATAGTAGAGCATGTGTGGTCATTAGATCATGTTTAACGCCGGATTTGATCTATGATGTGATGAACGAGACGTCGGCGAAGCGATTGTGGGAAACACTCTATGAGAAGTATTTGATGAAGAGCATTGAGAATCAGCTTCATTTGAAGAAAATGTTTTACCAATTCAAAATAAAAAGGGGTGTTTCCATTAGAAAACATGTCAATAATTTCACAAAATTGCTATTAGATATGGCCAATGTGGATATCATGGTAGAGGATGAAGATAAGACGATGTTGTTGCTATGTTCATTGTCAGAGGTTAATTTTGGTACCTTTGTCCTTACGATGATCAATGGTAGAACCACTGTCAGCTATAAGGAGGTGACCTCAGCATTGGTGAACTATGAGTTGAGGAAGAGTGATAGTGAACCCTTCGAGAAGGCATCAGAAGATGCATTGACAGTGAGAGGCCATAGTCCAAAACGCCGTCCGTTTAACCGCTCAAAGTCAAAGCATAGAGGTGGCCATAAGAATGTTGGTAGAAATCAATGTGCTTTTTGCAAAGAGATTGGACATTGGAAGAATGAATGCCCAAAGTTGAGAGATAGAGCCGGGAAGAATAAGGAGAAAGTCGTACATGCTTCAGAGGTAAAAATTGCTAAAGCTAGTGGTGACAATTTAGATTTAGACTCTTCGGACTGCTCATGCCCAACATTACCGTCAGTTTGTTATGCCGACTCTACGGAGTGGATATTGGATTCGGATGCTACATACGATATTTGACCTAAGAGGGATTGGTTCTCCAGCTTTGGGGAGTTGGAAAGAGGGGATGTCGTGCTCATGGGTAATGATTATATATGCCCTATTAGTGGTATTAGAACAGTTCGGATCAGGATGTGTGACGGGGTGACTAGGGAGTTGAAGGAAGTAAGATTCTTTCCTCAATTGACGAAGAATATCATTTCACTTAGAACTTTGGAGGCAGCAGGCTATATGGTGATCTTGGAGAATACAACTCTGAAGGTCACAAAGGGGTCCATGGTAGTGATGAGAGGCGTCAGGGAAAATAATCTTTACTACTTAAAGGGCAAGACAGTAACAGAGGGTCTGGTTGCATCTATTACCACAGAGGAGAATACTATCAGCTTATGGCACATGAGATTGAGACACACTGACGATAAGTCCCTACAAGTATTAGCAAAACAGAGGCTATTGAAGGGTGCAAAAACCTGTAAGATGGAGTTGTGTGAACATTGCATTCTTAGGAAGAATACGAAAATAAAATTCGGCACCACAATTCACAACACCCAAGGTATATTGGATTACGTTCACACAGATGTTTGGGGTCCTTTCAAGCACACATTACTTGGTGTGGTCAATTATTTTGTCACTTTTATTAATGATTATTCCAAGAGGAATTGGGTATATACCATAAAGCATAAACATGAGGTCCTAAGTATATTTATTGAATGGAAAAAGAAAGTAGAGCTGCAAACAGGTAGAAAGGCGAAAGTACTCCGGTCTGATAATGGTGGTGAGTACAAGAGTGATCCATTTTTACAGTTTTGTCGGGATCACGGCATTAGGCGTTATTTCACAGTTAGAGAGACACCACAACAAAACGGGGTGGCCAAGAGATTGAACCATACCTTGTTAGAGAAGATGCGTATGCTCTCACAGAGTGAATTAGTAAGATCCTTTTGGGCCGAAGCTTTGGTTTATATGAGCCATCTCATGAATAGGTTGTCGTGCACTGTGATACATGGAAAGACTCCTATGAAAAAATGCTATGATTCAGTGGCTAGTGATTATGAATTGCTTCAGATATTTGGGTGTCCAGCTTACTATCATGTGAATGATGGGAAATTGAATCCGAGAGCTAGAAAAGCAGTCTTCGTGGGCTTTAGAGAAGGAGTTAAAGGCTTCAAGTTGTGGGATCCAGAAGATAAGAAGATAATCATTAGCAGAGACGTCACTTTTAATGAGGATCACATGATGAGGACTCAGATCCCTCAGCAGGTGGAGGAAGGTCAGACTAGTGGGATATCGTAGCAGGTAGAGGATGATGTGACTTCACAGACTCTAGATAGCAGTGTATCCATTAAGGCTCCTACAGAGATGATAATGGGAGGAGATGATTTGACAGATGGGTAAATGCAGGATACAATGGATGTTGGGACTCAGGAACAAGGTCATATTCAAGAGTCCATTGCAGCTAATAGACCAAGAAGAAACATTCATTGGTCAGCTAGATATGATGATATGATGGTTGTGCGCATATGCTTTATCAGCTGAGGTCATTGATAATTTGGTTCCTTCTACATATAAGGAAGCAGAGTCAAATTCTGACTCAATCAGGTGGAGGGAAGCTATGGAGGAGGAGATGCAGTCTCTTCATAAGAACGACACATGAGAACTTGTAAAACTACCAAAGGGTAAAAAGATAATTGGATACAAGTGGGTATATCCAAAGAAAGAAGAATCTTCTAATGGGGATATTCGGTACAAAGCCAGATTGGTTGCCAAGGGGTATGCCCAGCTTGAGGGCATAGATTTTAACTAGGTATTCTCACCGATCGTGAAACATTCGTCTATAAGAATACTATTAACATTGGTGGCACAACTGGATTTGGATTTGGTCCAGATGGATGTGAAAATAGCCTTTCTACATAGAGATTTAGAAGAGGAGATCTATATGTCACAACCGATGGGTTTTAGAGCTGCAGGAAAGGATGATTTGGTGTGCAAACTGAAGAAATCTCTTTATGGATTGAAGCAATCACCGTGAAAATAGTACAAGAGATTTGATAGTTTTATGATTGGCCAAGGGTACACGAGGAGCCCATATGACCCGTGTGTGTACATGCACAAGCTACAAAATAGAGAGCATGTTTATTTGTTGTTATATATTGACGATATACTCACTGCTTTCAGGAATTCTTCAACTATTAGGAAGTTAAAAAAGAAGCTATCATTCGAATTTGAGATGAAGAATCTTGGAGAAGCAAAGAAGATATTGGGTATGGAAATTGTGAGAGACATGGTGAAAGGGAGTTTGAAGTTGACACAAAGGAGCTACTTGTAAAAGATGCTGAAGAAATTTAGTTTTGATGGCAATGCCAAGATGATGAGTACTTCATTAGCTCTCCGTTTTAAGTTATCAGCTAAGATATCACTTGTTTCAGTTGAGGACCATGAATACATGTTTAAAGTTTCATATGTCAATGCTGTGGGTAGCTTGATGTATGCAGTGGTGTGTACAAGGCCAGATTTATCACAGGCCGTAAGCATGGTATCTAGGTACATGCATGACCCTAGAAAAGGTCATTGGGAGGCCATGAAGTGGATTCTATAGTATATCAAAGGTACCGTGGATGTTGGTTTGGTGTTTGAGAAGAATGGGAAGAATGGGCAGGATTGTATTGGTTATGTGGATTCTGATTATGCAGGGGATCTAGATAAGCGCCGGTCTACTACTGGATATGTGTTTATACTAGAAGGAGAACCAATGTGTTGGAGATGTACACTTCAGTCTACAGTGGATCTCTCCACTATTGAGGCAAAGTATATGGCATTGACTGAAGCTGTGAAAGAGGCTTTGTGCTTGCAGTGGTTATTGGATGACTTGGGGATTACACAAGAG